AAAAAAAAAAAAAAAAAAAAAAAAAAAAAAAAAAAAAAACACCATTCTCTTTCCAGTCAAATTCAATTCCAGATACTCTTCAGAACAGCCAAATAAAATTCTCCCCACAGTCCCGTAAGTGACATTAACAAGGCTGAGTGTCCTGTTAGGCATCTAGAGCAGACCTCCACAGGGATGCAAGTGTCTGGTTGGGCAGAGTCATACACAAACTCAGGACTTCATCCTTAAAAGATTTTAGCTATCTTTGGACCAAGTCAGAAGCACTGGTAGTTATTCTTCCAATTCTTTCTAACACATGAACAACCAAGTATGGGCTCACTCTTTATGTTTGATATTACTGAATAACTATATTCAAGAGAAAAACAGCCTATAGTTTTTGTCTGTGATTAAAATGTAGTATTTCTTTCATGTTCTTTCATGTTCTAATATGAAGATTTTATACACTTGTTGAGGCTTTGGTAGTTTTTACTCCCTATATATTCTATCTTATACGAATCTAACCCCCATATCTATCTATCCCAGACACATGCACACATACACAAGAATGCCTCGTTAGTTCTTAATGAAGAAATTTTGGAGCTCTGACAACTTTTTGCTAGAACCTCTCAAATCCAAGAGTAGACATTCACTTCTGCAGTCCATGTATGAACAGGAGCACTGTATGTTCTCTGAAATATGGATACATGCTACACAAAGAGCTGCACAAGTTCAGAGCTCATTGTCTGCCATGTGGCAAACCAAACCAAACACCATCCATAAAGGTCAAACAACTCATGTTGTCTTCTTTCTCTGTCATTGTCATATAAAACCAGTATTTGCAGAAGAACAAACCTTCACAGAATGGTTTTTAATCTGATGTTACCTATGCTAAAAAATTAAATTCTGTGTTCTCCATTCATCCCAGTTAGCTATACTATTATGCAAGATATAGCTAACGTGAATAAGCAAACCCAAATTTCTATCTTTGAGCATCACAATAAGTGTATAATGCTGAAAGACGCATCTTTCCATATTTTCAAGAGAAGTTTGTATTTTGCATTAACAGAGGGCAGTATATTTTATTTGAAATTAGTAACTTCCATAGCACTAGGCTGTGTGTTGATCCCTCAAACTACTTGAATTAAATAGGGAATATTTCTCTGGTTTGTATTTCGCCTTTCTGCCTTGCATTTTAAAAATGCTTCGCAAGTATAAACAGTACTGCAGAAGCCTCAGAAGTTCCCAAGTTGGAAAGCTTTGTTTTATCTTTTAATAGTTACATTTTTGCTTTAGGAGTCTTACTCTAGAGAGGAAAAAAGCCTCAAGATAAGTCATTACTGAGGAGCACTTAAGGCAAAATAGTGGAAAATATGAGTTTATCTAGGCTGTAGAGCACACACTTCCATAAGTATTTGTTTCCCCTCTGGTAGCACTTGGTGCAGGACTTTCATTCTCTGCATTTAAGGACAGACAACAAGGAGTTTTACATTGTGTTTAAAGAAAAGCTGTTAGAGTCCTACTCAGTTTTAGTTTGTTTTGTGATAGTATGTATTTTCACTAACAATTGCATCATTTTGCAGAATGGAGGTAAACAGAATGGCTTACTTATCAGAATATATTTTTTTCTTGGTCAAAGCTAGTGGAAGTTATTGTTAGTATGAGAGGAAGCTTGTAGCCAGTTTTTGCCCTCAAGGGGCTATCTCCCACCAGCACATCTGGTGTCAAGTAATAAATCACCTCAATAGTGATGTTGGATTTGACCATCCATCTTGTGTCAATAGAAAGTCCTCCCTAGTCAAGGTATTTGGAGCTAGGAATAATTGTAACTGGTGCAGAACAGCCTTTAGCCCTTCCTTTTCTGTAATAACTCACTCCCCTCATCTGTGTTTAACCAATTCTTTCCCTCACCTCCATCTCAGATAAGGTCATAGCAGGTTGATGGCCCTACTACTATGGCACTTAAAATCCTCATCAGCTCATTGCTGCTCAGATGCCCTGTTCTCTCCAGGATCTCCTCTTGCATCTCTGACTCGTGTCTAAAGCCAGAGCCAAAGAGCTTGACTGGATGGTACCGTGACTTTTCTCAGAGAATTTCATTAACCCCAGAGGTGTCCAGCCCCAGGCCAAAACTCCCTGCCTGCACACACAGCATTTCTCATGGCCGCATGACCCAAGCAGCCTTTCACCTTTGCCAGCTTCCCTGCTACTCTCCTCCTAAGGTGATCCTCTCTC